GAACCTGATTAAGAAACCCTGGCCCTATAACCCCACTTCATTCATTAGGATTCATATTAAGAACCCTAATAGGCACCCAGGGTTTCTTAATCAGGTTCCTAAACGTACGACCCTCCACCGTGTAAGCCCTGCAAACCCAACGAGCCAGTCACAACAAGCCTGTTTGAAGCTTCGAACACCTATAATGCCGCTTTTTCTGAGAAATACAAACAAACAACCCTAAGCCCCCTCCAACCATTTCCGAAGGCAAAACCTAACAACCCTATACACCCGAAACCTTGACCGAAAACTCCCTGTCAACCCTATCCCTTCTCAAACCTGAACCGTCAGGCCACCCCCTAAAACCCTAAACCCCCAAACCCCAAAACCCCTAAACCATCCTAAACCCCTGAAGCCTAAACCCTCCTAAACCCCTAAACCCCTGAACCCTAAACCCCTGAACTCCTAGACCCCTGAACTCATAAACCGCGGAACTCCTAGCCCCCTGGTTCCGTCCTTGATTTCGTAGCCACCTACCGTCTTCTTGTGCGACGACAAGTCCACGTCGCCTTTCAAGAAGCGGTAGCTCTTGAACTCCTTCTTGCTGATTGTGCCAATGTAGTCGCGGACCTTGTCGCGAACATCCTTGATTGTTGCGTCGTTTGTGAATGCGATGACGAAGCGCCTGTCGCCCAGGACGAAGTTGATGTTGGATGAACAAAAAAATCTTTGATCAAGTCCCCAAGACTCTCGTGGGTGAGCCAGGATGTCGTTTCCTTGTGTGTCAGGATCGCCCAGAACCGTGGTCTGGCAGCGCCGACGCCGAGGTGTCTGGGGTCGAAATTCACACTGCGAATTGCATAAAGGTCACCTTGGAGATTGGGTCGCACTCACTAACTGGGTTGGTGGGCTGCGCTGTGGCTGGGCTGCGCGGTTGGGGCTTGGGGCTTATAGGGTTTCGGGTTCTAAACCCCTGAACCCTAAACCCCCCTCAGTCTGCAGCAGTTGCGGCAGAGGCTTCGGCCGCGGCTGGCACCTCCAGGACTTCGGAGCATGACGGTTTAGGGTTTAGGGGTTAATAGGGTTTAGGGTTTAGGGTTCAGGGTTTCGGGTTTCAGGGTTTAGGTTAGGGTTTGGGGTTTAGGGCTTTAGGGTTCAGGGTTAGCCATGTAGGCTTTAGGGTTTAGGGCTTTGAGCGATTAGGGTGTGCAAAGTACTGCAGGATGTTGTCCAAGAGGTGTGTGGTTTGGAGTTGCAGGTTTAAGGTTTGAGGTTTAGGACATGGTGTCAGCCCCAAGCCCTAAACCCCTAAACCCGAAACCCTTAAACCCGAAACCCTAAACGATCAGCTTTCGACTTGGGGGGGAAGGATCAGGATTTAGGTCTCAGGATTTATCATTGAGGGCTAGGGTAAAAGGCCTTCCATGCACCACGGTTTAGGGTTTAGGTCAAGAGCCTTCCATGCACCACTGCAAACAAAAATAAATTTTTGTCTTTGGTTCAGCCCCTGCAGAAGCCAATGCCGCAGATGGGGCCACGCGGCTGAAATAGACTGCTAGCACGTCAACGTCCATGAAGCACATGGATCGTGAACGAATACACTGTTCACGCGTTGTCCAATCCAACGCTCCCTGTGCTTCGGCTGCAGGTCCAAACCATTCTATTTGCCTGTCCAATATGTATGTATGAACATAAGCATGCATACCACACAGGCCCTGTACTAACGATACTGCTAGCTTCTGTTGCTATCTACGGCTGTCTGCTGCAATCTGTTGGTATCTGCTATTGTCTGCATAGCTACTGCCATCTGCTCATGTTTGCTATTATCTGCTTCTGTCGAAATCGTCATTCTGTTCTTCGCAAGCCTGTAGTTTGCTGACACCTCAACTGACTCAACTATGTCCAATTCTGTATGCTGCCGTTGTTTGGCTGCGTATCGCATAAGTACTTTGGCACAGCCCCCGGATTAAGAGTCCTCAAATCTTAACATCAGGGTTTAGCGTCTCTGCAGCAGCGTCAAGGAGCTTCTGCGAATTAAAAGCTTCAGTATGCATACTAAGAGGTTAAGATAGATAGATACATAGATAGATGGATAGATAGACAGATAGGTAGACAGGTAGACAGATAGATAGATGGATAGATACAACGTAACAATAGCAATCACCATTGTATGCTTACTTCATGATTCATTTAACTGATTGTTTGCTATTCATGTCTGTATGTACTCGATTTTCTTCAGCTTGCTTAACAACAAAGTAAAACTGAAGATACATACAATATATAATAAAATAATATATATATATACATATAATATGTAATGATATGTAATATATGATAATATCTACTATACAAAATCCAATATATAGGGTTCAGGGCTGAAAGGTCTGAGTGTCCCGCCGCGGGCACAGGCTCCAGATCGTCTGGAGTGCCTCGTTTCGCCTGGCTTCACAAGGTGCGCTATTGCAGATCGGTCCTAGAGTTTAGGTTTAGGGTCTACCTGTAACCGAAAATTTAAGGAACTATATATAGAAACCATAATAAGGAGCCCTAAAAGAGAGGTTCTTTAGGGCTACAGGTAGGGTCTAGGGTTGAGGTTTTAGGGTTTAGGGTCTAGGGTTTAAGGGAGTTTCACAGGGTGTTGTAGGGTCTTGTTGTCTTTGAAAAGGCTCTGCAGCGCGTCGTCATTTTATGGTGCTTTGCCCGCTGTCCGTTCACGGCTTAGGGTTTGAGGGTTTAGGGGTTTAGCGGTTTAGGGTTTAGGGGCTTAGGGTTTACAGTAGGGATGAGAGGTTCAGGATTTAGGAGTTTAGGGCTTCGGGTTTCGGGGAAGATAGGGGACAGTTGATTGGCTGCAGGTTGCAGGGATTGAGGCACCTTCATATTCCACCGCACTTGCAACCTTACGGTGTTAGCTCCGCAGTAATGCGCTCTTGCTTCTCGCTTGCATTCGCCGCGCTGGGCGGGAAGATGCCTCTCTACCCACAACCGATCTAGACTCCCGCGTCCAACATGTCGGAGATGTTGCAATAGCTGATACATACCGACCAAGCTCGACAACATAAAAACAAAAAATCGAAACCCAAAAAAGAACAGAATCTGAAGCCTACCGAACCCTAAACCCTAAACCCCTAAACCCCGGAGATACCCCATGGCCGGATCCGAAAGTCTCGCTCCTCGTGCATTTCTGACGCCAACGCCCTGACGAACCCTCAAACATCGAACCATCAAATCCCGAACCCGAAACCCTGATCCCTAAACTTTAAAGCCCTAGATCCCTCAATCCCTAAATCCCCGAACCAGGCAAACCCTAAACCCCAAACCTTAAACCCCCCTAGAGCTCGTTCGATTCGAAGTTCCCTTCTAAACTCCAGTAGCAGAGCCACTGGAGATGTGGGTTTTTAGGGTTGAAGCTTCAGGGCTTGGGGTCTAGGGAAGGGGAAGACAAACTCGAGGAGTCCGGGATGAGGGCTCATTGTCGCGGCCACGTCGGAGGCTCGACTCCTTTAAGGCTACCTTAAGGCGTTGAGGGTTTAGGGGTTTAGGGTTTGACACCTTAAGGCTACGACAAGGGCACTATAAGTTACTATAAGGGTACCAAAAGGTGACCAGAAGCTTTCTGAGGTTACCATAACGTGCACGGTACTTTCAGGGCACTGTAAGGGTAGTATATCATATGGGACGCTGAAGAGGATGGACTTCCGACATCGGTTATGCGAGTCATGCAGCGACTTTAACCTCTAAGGACCTTACCTGCCCAGTATTTCTTGCAAAGTGACAGCTGATCAGAGACTAGTCATATGACGCACCAATGCTCATGACTAGTGAACAGCTAACAAACCGTCGCAGAACGCAAGAGCACAGACGAGCCGTGCCTTGCGCCCCATTGCACAGCCCTCGGTCGGCGCGGGCGCTGGCTGGGCGGCTTAGCTGCTTAGTCGCGGTAGCCTGGGGCCTTGTCGATGAATACTTATAGTGTCTGATGATGTAGGAAGCTGACTACCCCAAAATACAAAGATTATCAAACATTCATTGAAAGAACCCTAATGCAGACCCAGGGTTTCTTAATTAAGCACAGGAAGCCAGATCTTCCCTAAGGCTCCAAGTGGGGTGTCAGTGCTGCTGACAGTGCGCACAAGTTGGGGTTTGGGGGTTCGGGGTTTAGGGTGTGCTGGTGCTGGTGTCGTTGTTAGTGCTGCAGGCGTGTTTGGTGTTCGGCTGCTTATGTAACGAATGGTTCTATGCCTGTGCAGACCTGGCAAGGGTGATACGGAAGCACATCGATTGCGTAGAGTTTCCAGCACATTCAGTACTGATGTCGGCGTTTGAGTGTCATGAGCACTACAGTCTCCGAAACATCCTAGCAATAAGCGTTATCCTAACCCATGCGGTAACCCATGTTCATTTCATACCTGAGCCAGTGGATCGAGGCCAGGTCCATGCACGTTGGTGCTTCGGAAGAGCAATATCGGAGGAGGGGAGACATACCAACTTCTGAAGAATGAATGACATCTTGGGGAGACTGCGGGCATGAAGCCGCGTCACTGTTCTTATTCTGACTTCTCATTTTTCTCGAAGAACCGCCAACGACGGCACGCAAGCTTGCTGCTGCAGCCGCATCGGGCTGCAACGGCAAAGGAGCGCGTACGAGCATCTCCCTGCACGTGCGGAACAGCCAGCTGCCCACATCTTCTGGGTTCTTGTTAGGAAGTTCACTTAAGTTACCATAATAGGGATCTATAGAAGCTAAAGTAGATAATCTGGCTTCTTTATAATGGTAACTTAAGTTAAATCCCTTAACAAGAACCCAGTCTTCATCTTCCGTCCGGAACTGTAACGTCTGCTTCCCCAAGCCAGGAGCGACGCCCGTCGCGCTGAGATGGCAAAGTAGGGCTCTGAGGGATGTCTGAACCAACGAGCCGAAAATTTCGAAGGTTGAAGCCTTCGCCTCCCAAGTTGCGCATTTCGTCGGTTGAAGCCATGGCCAGGAGGGCCCAAGAACTCCGCAAGAAACACCCAAATCTTTAGAGCTTGATGCGTGAAGAAGGTGCAGGCGGTGAAGCTGCCAGCTTTCGTCGAATCTCGGCTCCGGCGTCGCCCGTGCTGGCCACCAGGCCCGTGAAGGCGCCCTGCTGCTGCAGAAGCTCCGAAGGGGAGCCAGTCTCAATCACCCGCCCAGAATCCAGAACGGCTAAGCGATCGTAGTCGATGATCGTGTCCAGCCGGTGAGCTATGCACAAAATCGCACAGTCACCGCAGGCTGATCGGATTGCACTCTGCACTTGCGCATCTGTCTTCAGGTCTACACTGGCAGTACATTCATCGAGAAAGACGATTCGCTGCTTGGCAAGAAGGAGCCGGGCAATGCAGATGAGCTGCACCGTCCCTGCCGAAAAGTTCGACCCCTTCTCCTGCACAGGCTCATCCAGCTTCTGCGGCATGCCGTGCACTTGCTCCTCAAAGCTTTGAAATTATCTCTATAACCTGACCCCTAAACCCCAATGCCTCAACCCTAATCCCTAAACCTTAAGCCAAACCCCAAACCTAAACTCTAGCCCCAATCCCTGAACCCCAAATCTAAACCCTAATCCCTGAAACGTAAACCCTAAACCCTAAACTCCAATCCCTCAGCCCAATCCCTAAACCCCAAATCTAAACTCTATGTTGCTGTAGGCATTGCATACCTA